TCACAGCCTTTACAGCATCGATACCACATTTCCTGACGAGCATTTCCAGAAGAAGCTTTACCTGAAATAAGAATAGATGCATCGACAAATATATGAACACATAAAACCTAATAATATTATCGCAACAAACAGTTGCGTAAGGAATATAAAGTCGGTTATCCTGCTATCGAGTTTTAATGCTGAATACGAATCAAACTTTGCAATTGTCATGTTTTCAAAGAAACTAAAGAATGGTAGATGAAGAGGAACACAAACCTTAGCTTTAAAATGATTTTTGGTATCATCTTGCCACTTCAACAAACCTTCCACCAAGCTGGCCAAGTGTGCTTCCAAGCCTTCGGCTTTTGATTTAGCCACTAACACTTTCAATAGACCCAAATTAGTCTGCATCATAAGCAGTCGCGGACGTAAGCGATGCAATATGAAAGTACAAGTTAAGGAACATAACCATTAGCAAAAAATACATGTGTGAGAGAGAACAAACTTTAATAATTTCTCTGTTCTTTCTTCGAAGAAGAAGAGATGTGGAAGGAAGCAACCTGTAAGCAGAAGAAACAAGATCTGAGAACTCATAAGCCAACCGGGCCAAGCCTTTCACTGCAGCACTAACCATATGAGCAGTTTCTCCAGCCAAAACCTGTAGCAACCTGTAATCATGAATAAGAAACGGGTTAAATATCTTCAGAATAAGAATCAAACCGGATGTACATGTAAAACTTACAAACACTTATTGAAGTTAGAGAGATGGCAAACAGATTAATACCATATTAAACAGATGTTCCCTCTGTCCACTGCGTTCTTGGTCTCCATATTCATGGCCAATTTGGACAAGGACCTCATAAGCTCTATTTCTAGTTCTCTTATTAGCCTGCATAAATGTTGCATCATACAGAAGATATCAGAAAGCACGAATAGGAATTAATCCCATAAATGTTGTATCATACAGGAGTGCCCATACAGAAATAACATGCAATACTGTAATTTTTACTTCCAGCAGATCTCAAAAAATTCGACACACAATGGATAGAAGTTGACAAAATACCTCTTTCAAAGCAAGGATAATTTCAGTCAGGAAAGAACTAAGATCTCATGTTTCCTCAGGTTTGAATCCTCCTGTACAAAGAGGCATTAGTTAATCTTCTAAAAGAGATGGTTAGAATGATTGATTTAATCGCCTAGAAGCCATACACTTGTCCATAAGGGAGATGAAAGATTCAATTTAGTTTGTTAACCTTTGAGGCATATGTTATCAGATGATGCCAACAGTCGAGCCTGTGCCGTCTGGCAGAAAAGTGGAGTGAAGGCAGCACCTCAATCATAAGTTTAAGTAAATCTTCCAGTTTAGCAGATAGAAACCCATTTTGGTTCTAACCAGAAAACAAAAACATAAAGTGTGTAAATTGACAGAGTGAAATATTGAAAATTGCATACAAATGAAAATAAACATCTAAATGCACAGAGAAAAAAGAACAAAACTTAATAGCATTAGCATGAAAATGAGATACCCTCAGAATTATGGAAAGAACTTGTAAGCCTTCTTCTGAATCAAGCCATCCACATCCTGCAGATTTAAAAATACCATTTTCATCATAATAACTTAAACCCTCAAGCAAAAACAATACTTAGCCAAACAGGATAAGTGGAATTGTAAAACTAACCTGCAATGCAGGTTTTATTGCACTGAATAAGACGACTAATAATCGCTCATCTAAACCAGGCAAATGGGAAACTGCCAGGTCAAATAACCGTGCCCTGCAATTAATATCAACGGGAAAGAATACAATCATTAAGCACCATGGTACTGTCATGCCTATAAAACGTACAAATATTAAGAACTCTAGAGTTACCTTCGGAGAGATAATGAGCTTTTAGATGATGAGTCATCAACCTGCATAGAATTATTATTCTTTGATGCCTCAGCCTGTGTGACTCCCAAAAGGCTCAGCATGCATCATCCTCACATGCTATGGAAGCAAACTCCCCAATTGTGGACTGTAAAAGGAGAAAAAATCATTATGAAATTGGGAACATTAAAATGCAAGTATCTAAGGCTTCACTTGGTATGAATGATGAGAAATTTTTATGTGATGGTTTTGTTTATATTCACTTTACTACTTAATGGCTTAACCATTGGATGAAAACTTTTTCTACCTCCTATCCTCTCAACTTAGCAAAGGCTTGGGATAAAAGACATGACAAAACGGGATGGTGCACTTCATTGATAGGATAAGTACCTGCAAAGAACCACCCTCATCTACTGTATATTCCATGATCCTTGACAAAAGTGACAATAACTGTAGAGCAGATGCAGAAAGCACTTTCAATTTTTCCCTAGCAATCTCTGGGGTATAATGAGACATAGCTGGCAGTTGGGCAGGACTTAACTCAGCAACATCCAAATCATCTTTTCCTTCCTTAATTTTCTTATTCTGTTGAATTAGAATCTGCAAACTAGAGCATATTTTTCCACGTAGATCGTGTTCATCATGAAGGGCACTGCATATAGGACTTAGAAGTTCCTTGAAGCTTTTGGCAGTATCCAAAGGGTAATTACAAAAGGAGGGTAACAAGGACCACACTTTGTATACAAAACCATCTGCAATACTTGATGAGCGAATTCTTCCTTCTAGTTCTAGCCGCCAAGAGTACGGAGCAATTAAGAGGAGCTTAGAAAATTAAAAGAACCGTGTCAAAGAACAGGAATTTTACCTCCCGGGATCTCTGTTTCATTTCTCGAACCAGACCCAAAAGTGTCTCACTAAAGAAGCTCAAATGTGCACCTATAATATGCTGCTTCAGAATAGGGAATAGCCAATCATTAACATCTGAAAGGTCACGAGCCTCAAAATTCACTGGCAAAATTCCCAAAAATGTCTCAGGGCCCATCGCACCAAGAGCAGATCCAAGACATTCATGCAACTGCCAAAAAATTAGTCAGCCTATCCACAGTTGATTCCAACATCACGACATAAAAAAACAAAAATACAGGAAATGAAATTAAAAAATCAAAGTTTAAAAACATACCAATCATGACACAGTGCAAAATACAGAACGGTGAGATGACTGAGTAGGAGGAACATATACCTTCTTTTATTTTTTTTAGTCTTATTGGCCTTTGAAATTTTATATTAAGCACAGTTGTCAACGTTAACTACCATTTTATATATCATATCACAAGAGCTAAGTTTAATAACTGACCAATATATTAGCACAAGAAGAAGATAATGTTGGGGGGACCTGACCAAGAAAAAATAGCTTCTTCGTGTTCCGAACCCAGAATATCTATCTCAATAAAAAAAAAAAAAAAAAACTCGATAATCATATAGTAAGATCTTCTCAATTCTTCAATAATAGAAAGTAGCCAACTAAGAAAAAAAATTGAACCTTCGAGTGCGCTAAACACAATGAGAAGTTTAATCACACAGTTGTCAATTAAGAGAATAGACTTTTATGATTCCGGAGCTCAACAAACAGGCGTTAAATGTTATGCTAACTGGAGAAGTTTCGTTTGCAGAGACCGATAGAGCCAACAATGATAATGAATCCAGCAATGCCTCAGCTGAAACATCTACAATCGGATAAGTACACACTGCATTCAAACTATCTGTTACTCGCCTAGTAACAAAAGGTTGCCGAAGTTCCAATAATGTTTTATAGTACTTGAGAATAGTATTCATGTATTTCATCGATATAAGAGGAAGAGAGTCCTTAAGAGCATCTAAAACTAGAGAACTTCCTGAGCTCCTTTCGCCCCTTCACTCGAATTTGCATTTGAACCACCAGCGAGAAAAAGAAACCTCTCAAACATGTTCGATATAGCTTCGCTAGCAGATGCCAGAACCGGCATCCCTCGGAAGCTTTGTAAAACATCACGGATACACGTGATTGCCTTCTTACCTATTTTGAAAATTAGTTGCATATAATTAAGCATATGAAGCACAGTTCGATTGAATTCAACATATTTGGATTCAACAAAGGGAAAATAAAAGTAACTCGTCTGGGGACAAAGTCGGACCAAATACTTATCTAAAAAATTTGGGGAAGGCAAAAGTCCAATTTTACTTAAATTTAAACTAATAACGACCTAAAATGATATTAAAACAAATGCATGTTGAAAGAAAGCAAAGAAAATAGTAGTTTCAATTAAGAATACAAATAAAAGCGAAGCAAAACCAGAGAATTTAAGTAGAGTGAATTGTCCTCTTAAATTCGTTAACTTTTTTTAAAAAATAAAAAAGAATAATAAATTTCTACAAATTTACGAGCAGCAAAAATAATATAGTTAACTTGTAAGTTTTTCTTAAGAAAGAGTATTGTCCCTCTTGAATCAAGTTTATACAAATGTTTGAGCTTCACAACCTAGAAGAATCACATTGTTCATGTAAATGAACCATAAATGTAATACCCGAGATATAACAACGATATAGAAATGTTAAAAAATTCAATGGAACATTAACATAGAAATGTTTGTGTGTGTTCATACAGGAAATAAAAATTTCTTGACCTCAACAATATACAAAACGTGCCTATTAAGTTAAAAAAAATCCACCTATTAAGTAGTGCTGAATGGTCCTTAGATTTTTTTGCTCAAACTCGTCATCCAGCATAAATGTGTAAAATCATTTCACACTTTCTGTTGTCACATTTAATAAGTCCACACTTTCAGTTCTGAGAATTTAGTGTGGAAATTTAGTGTAAAATCAATTTACGCTTTCTACAGAAAACAAACAACTGCACAAATTTGATTCAACGACGAGAAACAAGCATTTTCTAGTGGAAATCCCCACTTGAACAGGAAATTAATTTCTAATTCTCACACTGAATTCTCACTCTCAGATGTGGGTCAATCACAAATGTGTAAGGTTCACATCTAAGAATTTATAGCATAAATGTGCGAACCTTACAGGAACAATTACTTGTGATTAATCCACGTTTGAGAATCAAAAATTAATTACCTGTTCAAGTCGGGATTTCCATTGGAAAATGTTTTGTTTCTCGTCGCTGAATAGAACTTTGCAGTTGCATGTTTTCTGTAGGATTTTCCTCTGAATCTTGTTCCAGTTCCCACCATACTAAGGAAATCTAACATTTTCTTTGGAGGTGTTCCATGAATTATCTTCTTTCACACCACAATTTCCACCAGAATCAGTAACATTCTCTACAAGTTGGTCATTAGTGGGCAGAAAATTAGATGACAATATTGTTTTCGAATTAGCGGGAAGCCACTTGGACCAGTCATCATATCTCCGTATCTTATCACCCTACAACAATAATTATTAAAGTAAACACAAGTCCATTAGTGCTAGGAAACAGTTATCACTATCCAATGTAACCACAACAATTATACCATAAAATAACTTGCATACATTCTATCCAAAATCAAATTTTAAATAGCGACACCCAAGAGAGAGAGAAAAGTCTAACCTGCACTTCTATAGTAGAAGAAGTCAGTAGTGCATCAAGAATGAGTTGTATGTTGGTACTCATCCTCTTAACCTGCGATTGTTAAACCACAAATGCTTTAAACCAATACTTCTCAAGATGTAGATAAAATCATAAAGAAAGATTATTAAAAAATCTAATTCAATTAATTAATAATGTAACAACCATGGATAAAGCAAAAATTTATGCAATACTACCATTGGTGTTAAGTAGCATACCCTTTTAAAATCTGCAATTTTGGATATTGAAACCCAACCTAAATCATCCATCAACGAAATCAAGTAACGATCATTTTTAAGATTTTCATCACTGCAAAATAAAGACTTGATATCAATAAATAATACAAACATACACACATTATATATAAAATTGCAAAAGCAAATCAATTCATGACATTCAATTAGTATAAACAATCAAAAGTTCGTATTTGACTTCCCAATAGACGTGCCAGTTACAGTACCCAAGAAATTCATGCCAAAAAGCTAAAATGTGATTTTCCATCAAAACTCACAATTGCATGCAATCAATACATTTTGCAGGTTAACAAAATTCTAAAATGGATAGTATACCATCAATTTCTGATAAGATAGCTAAATTTTAAATCACCCCATAAATAACATGTGTAGACACAAACAGACTCATATATGAAAAGTTCTACATAAAGGATGGATCAATCATTTTCACCAACCAAGAGATAAATAAAAAAATACCCAAAAATGCAATCAATACGATACATGGACGGAGAAGGTGTAGTATAGAATTTAGCAGTGCAGCTAGCAGTAAAGCAAGAAAAAGTAAAACACGTAAGAAACCATATAAGAAAAATTATTAAATAAATAAGAATGGAAAGAATCCTTACCTGAAATAATACTCGATTTGTTTCACTATATTGGTCCTCAAAATTGCAATCTCTGGAGGAAACATGGCAGCCCTTGGATTCATAGGGTATGGAACAAAGGGTGGAGGATGAGGTCCCCTTACAGAGCCCGGGGGAGCAATAGGAACATAATATACAGACCCTAGAAGATATACATAAGTCATTTCAAACAGATTTCATTTATCAAAGGCATAGTATAAACGAAGAGCTCAAACAAGAAGGCAGTATAAGCTGGGTGACTGAAATGCAGGCCAAACCTTGCCAATGGACATAATTAGGGAAACTTAACAAAGTAAGATGTGATAAAACATACTGAAGTATTTTGAATGAAGGCACATTGTTGCAGGGATTGATATATTACCAGGGAAATTTGGACCAACTACGACCCCTGGAGCTGGGCCAAAGAATGGAGGTCTCACAAAAGGTCTAGGACCAATACCCTGCTGCATGGTATTATGTTCTCTAGGATTAAATGTTCGTTGATGATTCCATCCAGGATTAAAATGCCCACCAGTTTCTTGCATGTTGGGCTTTCCATTAGAGAAGTTGGCAGGATATGCATTAAAATCTCCTCGTGGAGGCCACATATTTCTGCTGGCATTAATACCTTGTTCAGGGGGACCAAAGGCATGCTTTGTTGCCTCAGAACCAGATTTTACAAACTGAAGTTCTACACCAGGATAAGGTCCCGGGACATGGTGGTTAGCATACCCAGTAACATGTGGTGGAGGTGCCATGGCATGCAAAACAGGTGGCATTGATGGTTCATGATAAGGTGAGGGTACAGGAAATCGAGGTCCAGCATTAGGATTGCGCTTAGAGCCTAACTTGTGATGCCTTGCTGATGGATATCTATGAGAAGCATTGGTGTTTCCAGACCCATTTGGTTTTTGCTGCCCAGCAGCTCCCTGCAAGACCCAAAAAATTTGGTAAGTACTTCAATTGAAATATACTGAGACAACAATATTATTCATTTTTCTTATCTTCTTTCTTACATATTTGGGTAAAACCATAAAACACAGAAAAGTAAATTACCAACAATCAAATAAATCCCAACTCAACAGGATCCAGATTCAGAGATGACTAAATTATGTGGGGATTTTCTCAAAGAAATTACATTCCGTAAAGGCCCATTAACAATTTTCATCTGAGTTTATATTCCAATTCCTCTTGTTGTTTCAAAATAAGGCCTACCATATTCGTTTTAGCATTCGACAGAGGAAAACAGAAGCAACGAATAGAAACCAGAAAAGCAATACATCAATGGCTCTCAACATACATAAGTCGTCCCTTGGAGATTAATTTTAGTAAAAGCAGCTCAGATTACACCTAAATATTTTCAACTTTAAACAAAACGTGATTGACCACCTATTGAAGAAAAATAACCAAACCAGAATAAAAAAAAGGGCAATGGCTAACCTGCTCAATTGATGGAACTCGAGCAGACTCATCAGCAACGACGGAAGGGTTGTCGGGAATTTGTTGGGTCCCACCAAGGTCAGGCCAAGATTCGGTCCCCATAACATGAGCATCAGCCACTTTCTGAGAGTCAATCACCGGAGTCTTCCACGGTGACTTGACCTCCTTACGATCACCGGCTGCTTCATTCTCAACCATCGCCATGATCTCTCGCCAGCCGCCAAACGAACACAATGACTCCAAAGAAGAATTCTGTTAGTGATAATAAAATAGGACTAAATTATATATTTAGTGGGTTTTATGACTGAATTGGATCTCTAATTGTCAAAAACCCTAAACGCTGTTTATAATGACTCGGACTATTTATAGTTCTTTATTTATATATTTAAATTCTATTTTAATAGAGTTCTGTTTCAATTAAGATTAAGCTGTATCTACAAAAACGGATTTCTTTTAAGGGAAACTTTTATCAGTTTAGGTTTTATATTTTTATTTATATTAGTTTATAGATTTAATATTAAAAAATTAATTACTTGATATGTTAAATATACTAAAATTTATTTTTGAAATAGATACAAACCACAAGTTTCTGAAGAAAAAAATATTATATTCGTTTACTAAGCCATGTAATGTCATATCAAATTTTTAATTTAACGTAATTTATAATAAATATTTTTTAAAGATAAATATATATAATAATAATAAATTGTTTAGGATAGATAATTGAACATAAATAAAATTTTAAGATAAACACTATCGATAAAATAAATAATTAATATAATTAATATAAATTTTAAGATAAACACATGTTCATCTCGGAAAAGCCTTACATCTACCGCCAAATATATGAACATTAGTTTAACTAAAAAGAAGCTAATAAAAAATTAAAACTTGAATTATTATTATTATAAAATATTCACTTTTATGGAATGAACCAAAAATTAGTATAAAATATTGAAAATAACTAAAACATAATGTTTAAAAAATTAATTGTGACTCAAATACATAGTTGTATTGATTTTTTTTATTAATTTGAGTAAGTACAAAGTAGTATATGTTCAAAGATAACACTTAATCATTTATGATTCAACATTAAACGTTTACACTCCTGGTATATCTGGTGTTTGAACCCAAGACCACCACAAGAAATAACAACAATTCTTTTATCACCAACGTTGTTTGATTTGTACAAACGTATCAAAATTTAAATAAAATAAATCATGGAAAATATATTAAACGTAACGTAATTAAAATATTAACAAAATAATCTATGATTTTAATCGTTATGAATAACAATACAAAATATGGCAAATAACAGAAATAATACATATATGAAAATGTCATAATTAATAAAATAAAATAAGATAAAATAAAAATACATAAAAAATTATATATATATATATATATATATATATATATATATATATATACATATACTTGATACATGTTATAATGTCTGAATCTTGTTCAAATATATTTCATTATTTGTCTGATTAAGTTTTATGATAATTAAATTCTATAATAATTATTTAAATATATATTATTTATATTTACGCATACTTTTTTTATTAAATAATCACGTAAATTTGTATGCATATATACTTCTAAAAAGTTACTACTACTTACCTCATAGCTTTGGTAACATGAATTTCTTGATCGAAAGATAATCCCTTTTTATTTTGAATTAAACCATCCTAATCCTGCAGGTTCTTTAGTGTTCAATTTAATCATCTAATTATCATTTTAATTCAATTTTAGTTATCTAATTAAGTTTTTCCAAAATCATAATTAATAATTCATTTTAAATTTATTTTATTTTGATAACTCATAGGCCACAGACAAAAAGTTATCAATGATAATAATATGTCATCATAAAACAATGTTAGTTCATTATTAAAAAAAATAAAAATATTACTTTAATGGTCTTATAAATTTTTTAATAACAAATGACTAGAATAACATTAGTGATAATTTTTATAAGAATAGTGGTTAAATAACCAAAATCTAAATTACAGGTAAGTAACTGAACACATAGTTTACCCTTAAAAGTATAGATTTATTTATTGAAATTGTAAAATTCAAAACTAAAACTTAAAGGATCAAATAACTTAGTTAACTCAAAATTTACTATTTTTTTTATTTTTCCAAATCAAGTTGAACTTTAAGAGAGAGTGACCAATTCATTGTCCAGCCCACAACGCTGCTTTTTCAGTATTCATGTTTTACATGCATGAAGAGCAATGATCAGAAGCTGCAATTTCAGATAGGCAGCAAGGCAATCGGGATATGAGGGCATTTGTGGACAACATATTATGCCTCCAGATGGAATACATTCTTCGGGATTCACTTTTCCTGCTGTCCCATCCCATCAACACAACTACTTGCATATTCCTGCTCCATCAATCCAAGTCCCTCAAACAAGATTAGGGACATTCACAAACATATAAATGAACAACTGGTTATCATATGCAAAACATCTATAACCTCCCAAGTCAAGTTGATTCCATCTCCCCCATCACAAACAACTCAGGGAAACAATAAATGGTGTCATTCAACACAAAGAAGCTATTTCACCAGTCATCGAACACCAACAACTCCATTTGTACCCCTCCCTAAGGCAAAGGTTATCCACCAATGAGAGACACACAAGGACAGGGGGAAAGGGCTGGAAGGTTAGTAGAAGCTGGTGGCACTTCTGTTAAGAATACATTAAGCGTGTAAGCAGCAGGCAGGACTACATAGCCATCGTACCTGCAGTTTGGAATCTCATTTCATCCGATATTTGTAGTTAAATGACTCCATCATCTGTAATGCTAAAGAACATATCACGAAAGTAACAGCACATTAATCCATTCTATATGTAGTTAATCTGGGGAACCATACACGAGGAAACAATTCCATCAAATTAATAAGGTAAAGCAAGTTTATAAAACCACTAGTCGTCAAGAAAATTTAACAATACCCAGAAGAGGAAAAAAAGGCTGCCTCACATTAAAATAAATTAATAAGAAACAGTCACCATAAAACATCAATTGATTTAAGAAAAAAATACGAAAATGTTAATTGTTTGAGCATCACTGTTGAAAACCTTAAAAGGCACTCTGTCCACTGCCAGGAAACTCTACCTGTTCCCCAACAATTTTCAAGAAACAAATCTTCAAGCCGAAATAGTACATCTTTTTTAAAATAAGCGAAGGGGAAACTACTAAAATAGAAACGAAAATACAGGTTTGAGATCATTGATCTTTATAGTAGGCATTTTTGGTTACAAATTTAAAGACCACGTTTGCATGAGTTCCTGAACTTCAGAATCACCAGTCGAAAACAAAATGATTGATGCATCTATGAGAGAATCTGCACAATGAATAAAATCATAAAAATCAACTTTCAAAAACTAAAGATTTACGGAAAAGGATCCATGAGAAAGATGAAATGAATTTCCATACCTTTGGCAAAACCAAATACGATTTTTGTTAACAAAATTTAACCCACTAAAATTTAAGTTTGGAAATTAGAAAAAAAGAGATGAAAGAAAGTGTCTCATATGTTTAGGAATGAGGTAACTAAAATTACAAATAAAATTTAACAAAATATAAATAGTTATAAATTTTTGCTAATAGGCCATATGTATCATCAGAACTCAACAAACCAGCCAGCTTGTAAAACTAGTATTCAATAATTAACTTCAAAGTAAAACATACTAAGTGCCGTTGTCTTTCAGAGCCAACAGCTAAATACTGTTGACATTTGCAACAAATTTCATGTGCATAAAAAACTTAAAGCAAACATGAAACATGTACTACTCATTTCTACTAAATTCTTTTTCCGCTTCGCAATAAACAAACCTGACCCTACACAAAGCCGTCCCCATACTGTGAGATCATTTTTGGTTACGCAGTAAAAGTGTAAAACATGTAACTCAATTAGATTTGTTTTCTCATTTGTGAGGTCTATCATGCATAAAGACAAGGCAAATGCAATGCTAAAAGAAAAAAAAATTAATAAACCACAAAACAAATCTGGTTACCTTAGGGCTTACCCACTATCCCATGTAAGGAGCACCACCACCGGGCTGGTTCCTACCAGCACCGCCCTGCCCCGTCGGTGGGTTCTGATACCCACCCTGTACTCCCATCTGGTTCCCGTAGCCTCCTGTAACCTGACCCCCATAACCTGCAGCAGGTGCTCCCTGGTTCACAGGGGCACCACCAAGCCCTCCTAGCAGATTACCGAGCCCAAAACCAGAACTTTGAGAAGCAAGCAACGCAGTCAAAGCCTGTCCAAGCACTGGGTTTAAAGCTGGAGCAGTAAGAGCCACCCCAGGGTTCAACCCAGCAGCAGCAACTCCAGGGTTGAACCCCACTCCCACTGCAGCAGGCCCAGACGGAGCCATCAAATGACCGGTCTCTGATCCACTAGAAGAGTACTTCCCCTTCTTAGCATGATGGTAACGAGACTGATTCTGATGTTGCCCTTGCTGGTGCTGCTGGTACGGCTGATGATGCCCAGAAGAAGCACCTCCTGCATAACCACCTTTAGTCGGTTTTGGCCCATCAATGGCCTTCTGGCAATGCAAAACATGGCCTTCAAAATTCTTGTGTGGCTCTTCTAAGGCCTTCCTTGCACTCTCAACCGACCTGTATACAAAAAGAGCAAACCCTTTCGGTTTCCCTGTATGCTTATCAAGCCCCAACGGACCTTCCTCAATTTCCCCAAACTGTTTAAAAAACTCAAGCAACTTCTCGGGGTCCATTTCAGTAGAAACGTTACTAACAAAAATCTTTCTCTGAGTATACTCAGACACAGGCGGCGCAGTTGGGGGAGGTGCTGGAACCGGCCCTTGCGAAGCCAACTGACAAGAAGTAGTTCTATTCCCAATCTTCTTCTGAGGCTGTTTCAAAGCCCGACGAGCTCCACTCCGATTTTTAAAGAGAATAAAAGCATAACCCTTGGATTTCCCAGAAACCCTATCGGTAACCGCTTTGCATTCTTCGATTTCCCCATACCTAGAAAACTCGGCGGTGAGGGTTTCAGCAGTGGTATCCCAACTGAGACCGTGAACGAAGATCTTCCGTTGAGACGGGTCCACATCGGCAAGCTCACGAACCGAAGATATGAACTCTGGGTGCTTTTCGACAGCTTTCCTAATAAGCGTAATCAATTGATCTTTCCCAAACGGTTGTAGAAGTGTCTCGAACGGCTCGTCGTCCAATTCCTCTTCTTGACTCGTTCCTTTCGATACTCCGTTTCCATCTAGGGTTTGGTTTTCCTCTTCTTCTTCTTCGTCGTCCTCCTCGTTCTCGTCTTCCTCCTCGTCCTCATCCAGCTCCACTTCCTCTTCTTCTTCAACCTCCTCTTCTACTTCTTCTTCAACTTCCTCCTCAACTTCCTGGGGTTGTTCCTCTTCTACTTTAGGTTTCGGATCTTCGGGTATGTATTCTTGATGTTGCTGTTTCTCTTCTTCTTCTTCGATTGGTTGAGGATCTGCTGTTGTTTTAGTGGGTTCGACCGCAGAAGATCGTTGCTTTCTCTTCTTAGCCATGGAGAAAATGAAGATTCGAAAGATTGATTTGTCGGGGGGAGACAGAAATAGGGTTTCTGGGAAAACAACGGATCTGAGGTATCACTTATCTGATCTGCCTCGTTATTGAGTTTGATTTAAGGGTCGGATCTAAGCCTGTGTTTTCTAACCGAACCCAATGAATGATGGACCGGGCTTCCTTTCGTAATCCCTTTAATATGATTCTTTTCTTTTCAAATATATTTTAGGTTTAATATAAAAATAAATATTTAAATTATATATTTTTTAAATAATTAAATATTTTTTTATTAATTCAGGCGTTTAAACTTTAATGTTATAAATATTACTAATTTTAAAGATCATTAAATTTTTTTGTTAAATAACATCTGACACATTTATATTTTTTTAAATTTTTTTATTTTTCAAAATAAAACCACAAATGATCATTTTTAAAAAAACTATTAAAAAAAGCTTTAACCTAAAATCCTTAATTTTAAACCTAATTTTCCTATGTTATTTCTGGTCATCTTTGACCATTATTTCTATTGCCGAATATCACTTATCAATCATCATCTTTTATCATCTCAAACCTCTAAATATATAAACTTCTAAATTTTAAACTCTAAATTTAGTGGGTGAGGATTTGAATTTATTCCTAGGGAGGAGGGAGGTAGGGGTGTTCATTCGGTTAATTCGGTGGTCGAACCGATCGAACTATCATTTTCGAATTAATCGAATTTTTTTTTTAACCGTTAACCGAACCGAACTTTTTTTCGAAAATATTAACCGAATCGAATAAATTTCGGTTAATTCGGTTAATTTTCGAATTAACAGAATTTTTTTAGAATTTTAGAATTTAATATTTTTTTAATTAAAAAACAATTTACAATTAATTTAAATAATATCTAATTAATTTGATTCAAATATTTTGCATTTAATTTTGATATTATTTTAATTAATTAATATTGATTTGGGTTTTAAATGGATTTTAAATGGATTGGGCCTCTTAATATAATTATATTAATTCGGTTAATTAACCGATTTCGAACCGAATTAACCGTTAACCGAATTTCAAAAAAAATCCTTAACCGTTCCCCGACCGAATTAACCGAACTAATTCAGTTTGATCGGTTAATTCGGTTAAAACCGAATTTTGAACACCCCTAGAGGGAGGGGTGAGTTAATGAATTTGCATTCAAGCAGAGGGAGGGAGGATTTTTTTTAAATATTAATATTTTTATTTTAAAATAAACTTTTAAAAATATATATATAAACATGACATGTGTTATTATCGAGATTTTTAGCGACTGTTATGGTCGGTACACTTAAAATGATAATGTTTATGATATTAAATATATAAATTGACCAAAAAATAATTAAACACTTAAATAAAAAATATATATAATTTAAATAGTTATTTTAATATTAAACTTATTTTTTATTATTAATAATTAATCGAGATTTATTGGAGAAAAATAAAAAATCGAATTAGTTTTTCATTCCTTTTTTTTATAAGTCTGTAAAAAATGAACGATAATATATATTTAAAGATAACTCTCAACATTTTGACATTTAACACTAATATTCTCGATTTTGTTGGTACTCGAACTTAGATCCTTAATAAATAACAATAACTACTTTACCACATAACATACTTGTTTCGTGCTTCATTCCCTTTTAGATAAAACTGAGTTCGACTTTTTCATATTTAATAATTTATATATTTACAAAAAAAAATGTGTATTTCTCTTATCTATCAGACTATTAGTAATATTTCAAACGCATCAAAAGAGAACATTGATTATTTTCTTTAATTGATATTTATTTGTTATTTTCTTTAATTGATATTTATTTGTTATTTTCTTTTTACCTACTTGTTTGATGATTAAAAGAGAGGTGATAATAGCAACCGAATTTAAATTATCTAATTATTTTATCGTTAAAAGGTCGGATCAAGTCCAAGGGAAGGGAAGATGCACTAAATTCTTTAGAGAAGTGGGGGCATCTTTATTATTTTGAAAACAATGTAAAAAATAATTTAATATAAAGAGAAAATAAATAAAATTTTGCATACCGCTTTTATTTTATAAAAAATATTTTATATTTTATTTTTTGAATCTATAATTGATCTAATTTTATCTATTTATCATCGAATTTTGAATAAAAATAATTACCGAAATATTTAGATTTGTTAAGAGTTTATGAAATTGTTTGATTTTATCAAATGAGCTTAGGATGATACATGAGATATTAAATTTTGCATGGCGATTGGATTTGTATAAGGTGATTCTATAGTTCGACAACGCCAAGACAATCCATATATTCATTATCGAATTTGCTGCTCGAGGAACTGTGTTATTGATCATACTAGAATTCCTATTAAATAAGATTAGGAGGTTCAGCTTACCCTTATAAGAAGAGAGAGGAGTTTGGTAGTTGATGGCTTGCAAATATGGCTTTAGGAATAGAGGCGGAGTCAGAATTTAATTTTAATAGATGTTGGATCTTTTTAATTATTTAAAATTTTATACACAATTTTATTCTTATTATTTTTTATTTCAAAAAAATATAAATCGCAATATCAAATATACATATTAGCTCTATCATTTTTATAAATTAACAAGTAGAAAATTAGGAAAAATTAAAGTAAATAATAAAAAATGATTTTAAAAAGGTGTCAGAGACATAATAAATATCACATAATTATAATAAAACACACTACTCCTGCAAATCATGAACTGCATCTTCGAGTGATATTGTACTAAATATACCTAAACTAAATATAGGATCAAACAACAATTTAATAAATATACTATTGCTTAATTAATTTCCTTAAAAAATGGAGACTCAATTGAACTTGAACCACTCTAGTAAAACTCTGACAACATTAGTAGAATGGACTTACTTTTGTTGTGGAATTAATGGTTCTATCGTAATATTTTATGTTGGAAGAACAAAACTTTACAGCTTATTATATTATACTTTTTTCATAGAGAAAACCTCTATAATTTGTAGGGTAAACTACATGTTTAGTACTTAAATTATCATTTTTGTTTTATTTTGGTATCTAAACTTTATTTTTTTCAAAATCATACCTAACATTTAATTTAGGTTTTATTTTGGTACCTGATCGTTAAATACTTAACGGTGATATTGATATATTATCATATGATAATGTAACGTCATCATTGAAAAAAATGTCATATTAAGTGTAACAACCCGATTTTCAAAATAATATTTAATTGAAATTGGAGGTTAATTATGAAAATTGGTAAATTGTTGGTGACTAAATCAAAATTTATGAGAGTTTATAGTCCATTTTAGAAGTGAAGAAAATCCAAGGACCAAGCCTTGAATTTACCCTAAAAAAAATGTCGGCAGCTTTGATTATAAGCGTGCATTTGGTTCTGATTTTCAGAACCAAAATGCTCCCAATTTTCCTTTCCCATACGCAGTTTCCAACTCCGATTCCGACGCCGTCCAAATTCCGATCATCGTTTTAAAACCACCGTTGTGTTCATCATCGAGCGTGGAACAAATCCTTCAATTTAATTGAAGCGAAAACGCGACCAAACGTCGGGAATTTAAAGTCAAAGTAGCGACATTTTTCTTAGCTCTATCGCCGAGAAAATCTTAAATTCACCGCTGATCGTTGCTCTGTTTACGACACCTCCCGCACCATCGTGTTCCTTGTGCCGTTCCGAGTCCACCGGTGTTCCCCTTTTTCTCCGGCGGCTGCGGCGCGTGGGGAGGTGAACCGGTCAAACTTCCCGATTTGATCAATTCGAGCTCTCCGCCGTTCAAAAATTTGAACCGAGCTTTGTAAGTATCTCGAAAACGCTCAAAATAATTTTTAGAAATTTTTCTGTAATTTTTAGAGCCCCGGATGACACCTCACGCGCCACAAGCGCCGCCGTAGGGCGAGTGAGTAACCGGTTCAACCAGTTTTCTTAAGGGTTTGACCGGTCCTGACCCGACTCGTTGATCCGACCCGACCCGTTGACCCGACCCGATCGTTGACCGTTGATCGATGTTATTCTGGTAAATAATTCAGTTTTGGTGCTATTTTGGTAAATAATTTGGTTTTGGTACTATTATGGTAATTAATTCGAAATGGGTGCTATTTTGGTAATTATTTAAAAAAGGTACTATTTGTGTAAAATATTCAACAGTTTGTTGACCTCCTTTGACCAGAACTTTGACCGGCTTTGACCGGCTATTAAACGATCGTTAATCTTTTTCGAGTATACCTATCCTGATAGTTTTCGACGTGCCGAATCCGTTTCCGTGGTCCGTTTTGTCAAATTCGAACTCGAAAGCCTCCAAATCGATGGTCAAAGTGGTTGACTTTGACCAAGAATTTAAATTTTCGAAAAGTCATACTTTATGTTTTTCGACGTCCTGATTCCGATTCCGCAATCCGTTTGGCCAAATTCAGACTCGAAATATCTCAAATTGATAGTCAAACCCTGAAAATGCTTATATGCTTAAGAATTTTTGTTTTGAACAATTAAGTAAGATTTGGGGCTGATAAATTATTATTGTTTGAAGGTACAAGAGACTATCCGGATAGTTCGACAGCTCGACCCAACTCTTCTAGATCAGTTAAACCACGTGTGACAGTATTCACCCGTAAGACCCGTAAATTTTATGATTTTAGAGATTTATTTATGTTACCTATAAGTAATATAGTGTTACTATAAAATAGGTTCGAAAACTATAGCAGAGCGTGGTAAAACCAGCAATCAGTAGATCTATTATTGAACCTATTATCGAGGTGTGTTCCCTACTTATTATTGAACTGTTTTATTGGTTTTAATATGTGGTACACCGAATTCATTGGTTATTGTTTTATTGATGCACCGATTTAATGTGACAATTTATGGAATATGGCTACTATCTAATTTTTGTTTTGAAATGGTATATGATTACCATGTTTTTGGATTTATAGAATTTATGTCACGGTGCAATTGAATTTTGGAATTGAATTACGATGGAATAGCTCTGATCAAGCTAAATGGGCCTAATGTGACTCTTGAGGGCCCCAAGATGTTTAATTAGGTTGGCTTTCCTTTGTTGTGTACTTAGGGTAAGCTATATGGACTTATTGACTTGGGCTTAAGGATAC